GAACTCAAACTAAAGATATGGTATAAAAAGTTTCTAAAGAAAATTATTTCAATAAAAGAACTTTGAAAAGCAAAAAGAATTTTGAAAAGAGAAAAGGGTGTTGTGCATGCAATCAGCCGAGCTCAAGTAAGTTCTCCCAAATTACCCATACATGTTTGTTTAGATATGATATGCTTATGAGAACAGCATGCTAGATTAGGGTTAAGGATCTAGGAGGATGCCTTATGTGCCTGTTATATATGTATGATCTTAGAGTCGCATGCTAGTACATATTCCTGATATGTGGATAGAATTGCTTGATTTATGTGTCTGGTTAGATTTTCCGTTGGTCTGAATGTTGCTTGCTTTGTGCTTGGTGGGACTTTGAGTGATGGGAGTTAACTACTAGGTGAATACGTTAAGTCACATGTGACCAGGGTTGAATAATCTCAGAGAGTTGGATTCGACCCTATTCCGCAGCTCTCGTCTAATTCTAACCGTTGTAGGGATGAGTCATTTACCCGAAGGATTATCTGAGCCTCGTTAGATGTGATGGTATCCATGTAGTGGTTAATTAGCATTATGAAGAGTCTTTCAGCAGCTGAGGACTGGGTTTGGGATTGGAGATTTCCCTAGGGTAAGCCTAGGATGGGATTAGTGCTGAGAGCAATAGTAGTAGTGGAAGGGACTTGGGTGGAGTCGAGGCAATTCTTGAGGAAAGTATCGATAGATGTGGAAGGTAGTAGGGGCCCATACTACTGAAAGCAGAGGATCCGTACTCGATTCAAGAAGGGCTGAGATACAACTAGGGAACTTGTAGTGCGTGTGTGATCCCTCAGTAGTGATGAGTATTCTGATGGTTATTATGATATGTTGCAGAATGGTGACGTTACGTACTAGACCAGTGGGCAGCTCTGGTGCACGCGAGGGATCAGGCTCGGGCTCAGGAGCCAAGCAGCTCCAGGAGCAGATGAGAGAGTTTATTTCAGCAGAGATTACGCACAGTATTTTAGACCAGACTCCTTTGATCTTCGGTACGTTCAAGGAGGGCATACTAGAGATTTTGGATGAGAACCTCGGAGCTTTTCGTACTGAGATGATAGCCATGATGGGGGCGCGTACCCTGACATTCTGAGAGTTCAGAGCTTGTGGAGCTCCAGATTACCATGGAGCTCGGGACCCCATCGCTAGCAGCAGGTGGTTGGCTGATGTTGCCAACGCTTTCCGTACGAGCCGATGTCCCGAGGGGGACAAGGTCCGACTTGCCTCCTGTCTTCTGAAGGACAGAGCACGAGATTGGTGGGAGGAGGTTGGACATGCTATTGGGGATGATGCCGCGTTGGGGCGCGATGACATGGAGTGATTTCTCGGCCAGGTTCAAGGCCGAGTTTGCACCAGTGATTGAGGTGCAACAGTTAGCACGAGAGTTCCAGGATTTACGGCAGAAGACTGAGACTGTGATGGAGATTACCGCCAAGTTCAGGGAGAGGGCTCTTCTTGTTTCGCAGTATGTCGCGGACGAGGAGATGAAGAAGGCCCGATATCACGAGATGTTGAGGAGTGACATCAGGCAGTTTGTGAGCAGATCCAGCTGCAAGATGTTGGAGGATATGATCGCTCGAGCCAGAGAAAGAGAGATTGACATAGAGTCAGAGAGGAAGAGGAAAACGGATGAGGTTCAGTTGTCCACGGGTTCGGGAAAGAGACCCAAGGGGTCAGATTCGAGATCGAGAGACTTTCAGAGCCGCAACCGCTGTGGCAAGTGTGGCAGGACACATGAGGGTGCGTGTAGGATTGGCAGCGGTAGTGATTCTGGTTGCTTCAAGTGCGGTCAGACTGGTCATTTTAGCAGAGATTGTACAGCTACCACCACCCAGGGATCAGAACTGATCTGCTTCCATTGCAGTCAACGGGGCCACAAGAAGGCCCAGTGTCCGAGTTTGGTTACCGCGGGACAGGTGATAACACCTATCCCTGTTACGTTGAGGATCACCGACATCCGTCAGGGACGGGCAGAGGCGCCTACGGTGAGGAGCAGGGCTTTCCAGCTGACCACAGAGGAGGCACGAGCAGCTTCCGATGTTGCAGGTGCGTATCTTTTGCTTTCCTATAAGATTTTATTTATGATTTTATTGTTATGGTACTGCATCGATATTGGTAAAAGTATTTCAGAACTTTGTGGCCTGATTATGATTGATTTATATGTCATTTGAATACCTTGGATTTTAGAATAGTAGTTAGAGGTCGTTCCCTTTTAGAGAAGGTTCTCAGGATGTAGTAACTGTAACAAGAGTGACTAGAACTCGGGATATGTGTCACTAGTTTTTTCAAGGGAGGTATTGATTGGTACTGGTCAGTTAGATTACTACCAGTGGTGAGCGTCGGATTGCGAGCGGATCGATCGTTGGACGGTAAGAAGGATGGGGAATCCTTTCCAAGGTTGTGAGCTGTAAGGAGTTAGTTGAATCGAAGTGGGGGAGAACCATCCAAGTATTCAAGAGCAGAAGTAAGTGTGAGTCGGGATAAGTTCGCATCCTGTTGGGTAGGGAAGCAGCCCGATTGGCCATTTGGATTGAGTAGTGTAGGAATTGGAAGTTTGGGAAACTTCCCGACGTAGAGTTCGTGTATTCACGACAGTAGATAACTGGTTTTGACAACCAGGTCGGAAAATTTCTGGCAGGACGCGGGTTTAGCCAGGATGTAAGACTACGGGATAGTCGTAGCATCCACCAGCAGTCAGACAGTGAGAAAAGGGTTGTAAGTCTACGGGATAGCTGTAGCATTCATTAGCAGCCTAGTTAGCGGAGTGTGGGCGAGGGCCCGTATCTCCTAGTTAGCGGAGTGTGGGCGAGGCCCGTATCTCCTAGACAGCATGATAAGAGTCAGGAAAGGATAACAAGCTGAGATTCGAGGAGGAGTAGGCCTGCATAGCCCTAGAAAGGTGAGACCTGTGGGAGAGGCTACTCCGAGATATAGTTTGGGTGGGACCCGTAGGCGAGGCCTGTGTACTTATAGCAGCGCAGGTGGGACCTGGTAGAGACCGTAGGATCAAGGTAGGGGATCGAGGATCCCAAGACTTATAGAGCCAAAGTGGCAAGGTAGATAGAGCAGATTTAGACAGCCCAAGTTTCTTCGGAAGTCACTGGGAGCGACTGAGAGATTGAGCTTGGGTTCAGTAATCGGTGGGAGTCCGGTAACCCAGATGATGGCAGACCAGTTTGGGACCAGGGTGGTCCCGGTTCATCCGGAAAGCGGATAAGAGACAGCAGGATCTTCGGACAGGTAGTGATAAGAAAATTCTGGAGTGGATCAGCTAGTTGACCGAGAGATGCTAAGTCACTCACAACTAGGGGTGTAAACGAGCCGAGCCGAGCCCGAGCCTAACCAAGCTCGAGCTCGGCTCGTTTAATTTTGAAGAAGCTCGAGCTCGAGCTCGAGCTCGATTCGAGCCTTAAAATGAAGCTCGAGCTCGGCTCGTGAACAATTTAGTGAGCTCGCGAGCCTAAACGAGCTTAAACGAGCCTAATATATATATATATATATATATATATATATATATATATATATACACACACACACATACACACACACGTATATATATATATAGGCTCGTTTAGGCTCATTTAGGCTCGCGAACCGACTAACTGAAGCTCGGCTCGAGCTCGTTTAATAAACGAGCCTCATATTTTGGCTCGAGCTCGGCTCGGGCTCGTTTAATTCGATCTCGAGTCGAGCTTTTAACGAGCCGATTCCGAGTAGCTCGCGAGTAGCTCGGCTCACTTACACCCCTACTCACAACTGTATTAAATAATCTCATAGTAAAGGGTTTGACTCTGTTGCGCAGCTCTCGTATGCGTCTAACCGTTGCAAGGATGAATCTTCTACTTGAAGGATTATCTTATTTTCACGCTGAGTTGAGCGTTCAGCATCTGGACATAGTAAATGGAAGCATTCAGTGGGTAACAGCGAAGGGACCAGCACTGGGAGTGGCTGAAGATTAGTTACAGCGAAGGATCTATCCTTTTTTGCATTTCTTGCAAGTTAAAATTTTAAGTTTTTATTTCGGAAATGGTATTCGACGACTTTACCAAAAAAACTTAATGTTTTTTTTCACAATGGCATATAAGAAATTTATTTAAAAAAAATAAAATAAAAAACGAGGTGATTTCTCATGCATTTCTTAACTCCATATCTTTCTCATTTAATGATTTCTCACTATTTTTTCGAAAATAATAAATAAAATTAGAATAGTTTATCTTTTTTTTTTTAATAAATAAAATTAAAATAGTTTATCTTTCTTTTTTTTCTCGCTATTTGTTGCCCGGTTGGCTTCAATCGATATGTATTGAACTTGTCTAACGTATTTTACCTATGTAAATACTAATTCATTCCTTGATCAATTTGAAACTAAGACCTCACTTATCTCGTATATCTGTCTTCAACAGGTATTAATTTTTGAAACGTAATTAAAATTAACAGTATCTTCATACACACATGACACAACACAAATAATTTAAAAATTCCATGTGTTACTCATTTTGATCTTCGGTTGCTACAAAAATGTTGAAATATGCGGGGCGTCGTCATTTTCGAAAATTGCCATCTTTTACCACCTTACCTACAACAATCTCTGATACCATCCATGGAATTTACCTCAATTAAACCACAAAAGACAAAATCCACCATGCCTTTTCGTTACCTTGGAACTCCATTTTTCTTTCTACAAGTTGCGAGCTATGAGCCTATGACTCCCTTAACCACATAAATTTTCCTTAAAAATCCGAATTTTCAATCAATCATCCTTTGATTGCCTTACCCTCTTCCCCTTCTTGCTTATCCTCAATCTTTGAGGGGATTCCACCGTCACTTAACAGTCACGTTGCTTGCCGCCATTTCCGCCACCGACGAAGTCATCAATTTCATGGTTGACCCTCGGCTTGCCCTCCAATTCGTTACTAGGTCGAATTACACGAAAAGGGTTTGAAGTTTTTGTCTCCGAGCTAAGTTCTTTCTAGTTTTAAATGGCTTCTATTTCCGGACTTGCTTCTTTTATGAATTGTATTTCTGTTAATAGAAACCCTAATCGTTTAATTTCCCAAGTTTATGGAAGCTTTACTGTTAATTCCTGCAATAGGGTTTCGATTACAAACAGAAACCCTATCCATATTGGGATATTACGTGAAAATAGGTTTTATAAAGCGGTGGAGTTGGATACGTTTGTAACTAGTGACGACGAAGACGAAATGAGTGAAGGTTTCTTCGAAGCAATTGAGGAATTGGAGAGGATGACCAGAGAGCCATCTGATGTTCTTGAAGAAATGAATTCCAGATTATCCGCTAGAGAGAACTACAACTCGTTTTGGTCTACTTTTCTCAAGAAGGAAGAGACTCATGGTGTGCTTTGGAAGTGTTTGAATGGCTAAAGAAAGAGAATAAGGTCGATGAGGAGACAATGGAGCTCATGGTTTCTTTGATGTGTGGTTGGGTTAAGAAACTGATAGAGGGGAAACATGAAGCTGAAGATGTGATTGCTCTTCTTGTGGATATGGAGTGCGTTGGGTTAAAACCTAATTTTAGTATGATTGAGAAGGTTATATCATTGTATTGGGACATGGGTGAGAAAGATAAAGGGATTTTGTTTGTGAAACAGGTTTTAAGGAGAGGGGTTGGTTATGAAAATGATGATAATCAAGGGCGTAAAGGAGGTCCTACAGGATATCTTGCTTGGAAGATGATGGTAAGTTTCAATTTTTATATATTTTTCATCTTTTGATACATTTGGATCCCTAATTTTGGTTTAATATGTTATATCAGGAGGATGGAAATTACACTGATGCAATTAAGCTAGTAATCAACATTAAAGAATCCGGTTTAAAACCAGAAGTCTATAGCTATCTAATTGCAATGACAGCTGTTGTCAAAGAGCTAAACGAATTTGGAAAAGCTTTACGCAAGTTAAAAGCCTTCACGAAATCCGGTTTATCTTCTGATTTGGACACACACGACACACAACTCATACAAAATTACCAAACTACCCTTTTGGAAGACGGGGTCCGCTTATCCAATTGGGTAATCGAAGAGGGCGGGCTGTCATTTCACGGGGTTGTATACGAACGTCTTTTAGCCATGTACATATGTGCGGGTCGTGGGGTCGAGGCAGAAGGGCAATTATGGAAAATGAAATTAGTTGGAAAAGAAGCCGATGGGAATCTTTATGACATTGTGTTGGCTATATGTGCTTCTCAGAAGGAAATAAATGCAATTTCAAGATTGCTTACAAGAATGGAGGTGACTAGTTTGTTAAACAAAAAGAAAACTTTAACATGGTTATTAAGGGGTTATATTAAAGGCTCTCATTATGTGGATGCTGCTGAAGTGGTAAATAAGATGCTTAATTTGGGGGTGTACCCTGAGTTTCTTGATAGGGCTGCTGTTTTGCAAGGATTGAGAAAAAGAATTAATCAAAAGGGTATTTTGGAAAGTTATTTTAAGCTTTGCAAGAGGTTATCGGATGCAGGTTTGACTGGACCTTGTCTTATATATATGTATATAAAAAAATACAACCTTTGGGTGATCAAAATGCTTTAAATTAGTTAAACTAGAAATCATCATCATCATCATCATCATCATCATGTATATGTGTAATGTGTATCGAGTTAATAATTCGAGTGAGGTCTAGTAAAGATGTTGATATTGCATGTTTTATGGGTATCTTGTAATTTTGATTTTCAAGACTCGAAATATGTATTTGTGGCATCTTTAGATCATTGATTGCAAAAGGGTTATATAAAGGTGGATGACATAAGAGTTATGTGCCCAAAAAGAGCCCAATCCATTTTGACCATTATGATCTTGAAATGCTTCTTTATTTGGTTACTTTTTATTGGGTAACTTTCAAGAATTCTTTATTCAAGTTCTTACATTTTGGATCAAGAATCTTAAAATGCTTTTGAAATATTTTGGGTGAGTTTTAAAATACCCACAAGATCCTTTTTTTTTTTTTTTTTGTCAAATTCAAGTGTATCTTTGTTAAAGTTCTTACCTTTTGGATCAAGAATCTTGAAGTGTATCAACTTGGAATATATCATTTGTTACTTTTTATGGGTAAGAAGTTAATATACATATACACTATTGAGAAGTTGAGAGTCAACTCGTTATGGTCAATGCCATTTTATCATTCCCCAACCTAACCCTCGACAGTCATATCCTATTTTGAAGGGCAAAATGGTCATTTAATATGGGACATTTGAGCTGGAAATATGGATGCTTAATTGCAATTTGGCATTTTTTTTCATGTATGCAAAGATTTGCAGACAGGTTTTGCATGTGGTGGATTATTCTTGCCTTCTTGGTGGTTTTGGTGTATACGTGGCTTGTTTTTGTGTTTGGTTGTCTTTTGACGAAATAATGCAAAGTTTTGCTAGTTGACAAAAAGTGCCTGATAAGAGCTAGTAGGCAAATCTTATCATCTTAAGCACAATATATTTGTTGAAAATAAATAATAATAATAATTACACAAATGCCCTCGAAGACAAAATTCTAAAGAAATATAAAATCAACGTCAACATAATACTTTTGACATTTAAAAATGGACATGAAAAGAAAGAAATTCATATGTTAATGGTATTTTTGATCTTTGGATCATGTCTAGTGTTTGTTTTTGTATATCAAACGAATCCCATGCAATGAAAGGGTGTAAAGGTTGATCTGAAATTTTTAAAAAGTGGAATAAGTAAATATATAATGTTAAGTATACCTAATCATCAATTATTTTTGGCATGTTTCTAAACATTATTGTTCAGTAATTCGCTTGTATTGAATGGTTGGGTTTTTTTTTAATTAATTTTATTATAGCGTATTATGTAATGTACTTATTGTATAATTGCGTACATTTTCATGGATAGAATCTTGGTTATGGAAAGGAGTTGTATCTCGTCTTATTCTATTAGTAGTCATCTCATATGTATTTATACGAATGATACTTTACCATGTTAGTAAATTAGCAAATTAATGTTTTTATCTATCACGCTTTTTTTTTTCTTTTTGTACTTATAATAACTATCAATTTATAATTTTATATGTAAATTTTACTAATGTAGGTAGCTTGCAACCTGAAGTGAAAGCCATAAAATGATGATCTGACACATGTTTCATCATCCACGTTATGTACCATGTGTACAAATCCAATGGTGTTGGACTTTTTTTAAATTCATATTAGTACAAGATATTCTAACAAAAAGAAAGAAATTGATATCCAACCAAGCTAATCATCGGCAAATAAGTAACATTGTGCAATATATTTACAGAAATCAACTATTCGACTACGACGAGGACTAATTATTTGTATGTTTTTTATTTTAGGTTATGTGTTTTAAATTAGGAGTGATGTAATTTTTTTTATTTTTTATTATGTAATATTAAATTTTTGTTTAATAATAATGAAAACTTCAAGTTCTAAATAACATTAGACATGACCTAGCGGCAATGTCAAGCCTCAAGCATTTATGAGCCGTGGCGAATCATGTTGTTTGTAAAGCGCCACTTAAGTCGGCAATTTTGTATAAATTTAAATTATATATATATTATATATTATATATCTATATATATATATATATATATATCTATATAATATATATACACACTCTATAATTCATTTTTATATACATATATAACTTAAGATAGCATTTTGTTAAAGCGTGATGGCAGGTACAAACCTTGTAACCATATCGCATTATGGCAAAGTCATGACAAGTTTTTTAGAACATTGAAAAACTTTAATTATTATTAATCTTATATTTATTTTTGTTTTAGAACTAGAAAATACTGTGAATACTCTTACACGTAAACAAAGAACAGAACATGTAATCTTGCAATCACTCAAACATATTTTTCAATCGTGATTTAAATTATCAAAAAAAAAAAAAAGCTCTTGCATAATTAATTATAATAATTAAATTATTCATAAAAATAAAAGTTATATTTTTTAGATTAAATTATAGAATGGTATATGTGGTTTGGTTAGATTCTCATTTTTAGTCAAACTTTTGAAAAATATATTCTTGTGATTTCAAAATTTTATACATCTAATACTTGTGGCTAGCATCGTCAATTAAATTATAAAAACAAACGTTCCTTTCTCAACCTAAAAACCCAGTTGTGCCTAAACACCTCTCCTTCGCCTCACCTTACCGTTTGAGGCCCATGCAAGCACCTCCCTCATTTCACTATTTGTATATTTGGTGCTGCACAATAGTTTTGTGTGACAGTGTGGTGTTTGGTGGGCATGGGTGCCTCTTTGTATTGTAACAAAATATAAAAATAGAAAAAAGTAAAAGTAAAAGTAAATTTGTCAATTTACACTAATTTGATAGTTGATCATGGTCGGTGTTAGCTAAAATGGACTACCAATGTAATTTTTTGAAACTATAGGGACACAACCTATAAGCTTTTTAAAAATTGGACAAAAAATGCAATTTTAAACAAACCACAAGAACCATTACTCTTTTTTAAATGATTTAGAAATATAACTTTACTCGATCTAATTATAAAATATTTTAAGCGATTTAATCCAAATTTTGTAGGAAATATATAGGGAAAATGATACGTTACCCAATAATATTTTTGAATTTGTTGAATGAGTCCTTTAACTATTTGCATGTTTTATGTGGGAATAAAGTAGAAGTTGACATATTTATTTAGTCTCTTTAACCGGAAACAACATGTCTATCATGACACACAATCAGTCTGAGAATATGTGGTTGCCCAATCAGCATGATGTGGCTAACACGTGATTGTCCACTTGGACCTAAGGTTTATTAAGAGGGTAATAAGGGTATTTGACATAAATTTTGATTAAATTTTGTATGTGTGAACATGTCCAGGGAGTCATCGTATTGGTGTTACAGATGCACACAAATCGTCGGAGTAGTTGTTGTGGTTAAAGACATCGTTGTGTGTCCTTACTGCGAGGGAGAATCTAATGAAGTGGTGGATTTTCACACGCCTTCACCGCCGGAATCTCGATGGCGTTTTCCTAAGTCATGATGTACATGCTTGGAAGTAATGATCGGTCAGATCTCAGGTTCCGACATGAAGTAATGATCGGCCATTTAATCTGGTAATTATTCTTTGTGGTGCCGATGGAGGCGGTATTAAGAATTCAGAAAGTTAAGAGAGAGATTTTGAGTTGTATTATGATGATGGAGCAGGTTTACAACCTTTGCCGCCGACGATGTCAGAGTTTCCGATGAGGTCAGGGTTTGATCGGTTGCTCGATCAGTTATCGCAGATTGAGATAAACGGATTAGGTAGGGCAATACATCCACCGGTATTGAAAGCGATTGTTGAATCGATGCCGACGATCGAGATCTCAGATTCACAAGTTACCAGCGAATTGCATTGTGTTGTCTGCAAATAAGTGTTCATTCTCGGAGTTAAAGCTCGTGAGATGCCATGTAACCACATTTACCATCCTGATTGCATTCTCTCATGCCTAACTCTTCGCAACTCCTGTCCGGTTTGCCTCCACTAACTCCCAACAAGTTCAACTAATTTTCCAAATCTATAAGGCCCATACCAAACAGTAGAAGAATCAGCGACAGTTGGATTACCAATATGGAGATTACCTGGCGGTGGATTTGTCGTTGGAAGGTTCGCGACGGTGGCGCGAGAGAGAGCTTCCATTTGTCTACATGAAAATGGACAACAGATTCAATAACTATCCAGGTACGCCGAGGAGGATCATGTGGGAATCGAGAAGGAACAAGACTAGAAGAGAAGGTGGATTCGGCTCTGAGAATGAGAAGTAGGTGAAATAGAACTTGGATTTTGGATAAACAGGGTTGTCCAGATGGTAAGCCTATGTACTCTATACAACTCAAGACATGTTCATACATAAAAAAAAAAAAGTATACATGGACGCCTAGCCAGCGCCATAGATGATGTGGCAAAGAAGTCATCGACTTACCCATTTATTTATTCAAAGTGATCAATTAGACCCGATAAAAACAACTTTATTCTCTCATAAAGCCTGCAAATAAATTAAGAAATTGATTCGGCAAATTCGAAATACATTATGGGGCTAATGTGTCGTTTTCCCAAATGTATAATACTAATCAACATGTTAGGTTGTTTTCTGGAAACTTTAATCATACATAATATATCAAAAAAGAACAAGAACCAATATCAGCTCAACAAGTAAAATGATATTGTAAAAAATATTTTTTAAAACTATTTAGTAAAAAGTAAATAGTTTGATTTATCTATAAAATGATAAATATCATATGAATTATGATAGCACTGGTTATAGATAAGTTATAATATGTGTAGGGATTTCTACTTTACACGGCCTAAAGATGTTATTCTTTGGTGTCTGTTTCAACAGGTGGAACATGTTATTCTTTGGTGTCTGTTTCAACAGGTGGAACATATTTTATGTTCATGAGTTGTACTCGTAGTCATGTAACAAACTTTGACAATACAAAAAGTGTCTGTTTCAACAGGTGGAACATATTTTATGATCTGATTCATACATAATAATTTTTTTATCATACACAACGATTTATGTTTAAATAGAATTACACTATATACAAACAGAAAAATATCATTATTTTATATAACAAAAACATGTTATATACGACTTCTACACAAAAAAAAGCATCTTAAATTTAACAACAAAAGTAACGGTTCATATTAACAATGTGAAAAAACAGGCGGCAAATATTTCTTTAAAATTTAAAAGTTAAATAACTTTGTATTGCCAAAGGGTTTCTAAAACAATGGTATCAGATGGTGTCTTTCTACGTTCTTTTGAGGTTGAAGGTTAAGTCCGGCCTGAGACATAAATGAATTAAATAAGTAATTATCGTAAAAAAATGCATCGAAATGAATACAACCGGCTTGGTCCTGCATGGAAATAAAAGGGAGAAATAAATACCAACAGAAGTTCAAACTTCAAACATTTGTGTTATTATTGTGTTGACAAAAGCCACCTCTTTTGTTCTTTCTTTTGTATTCTACTAGCAACACTTACTAAATCTAGAAAGCGAAAGGCATATTATAAAATATCATGTTACTTTTTATGGTTTTAACTATTTAATCTGTTAAAATATTAATAATTATATATTGATGTTTTTATAATTGTGTGAATCACCTAATCTTTGATAAATATATTTATATCTCCTAATTTTCAAACAAATACGGGTTCATTTATCTAAAGTTAAATACTTAATTTAAAGTCGTGAACAAAAATTGGTGATATTTTATGTTTAAAAAGGTATCTTGATATATTTACAATTCAATGTTGAATTCAAAGCAGACGGTCATTTTTCAGAACAACTGCGGTAGAGTTGAGCATGATGCGGTTCGGTGCGGTTTTTGGTCAAAATCGAACCGAAAATCACAACTTCGGTTTTTTGAAGTTTAGAAACTGCAACGTTCGGTTTTTATGCAGTTCGGTTTTTTGCAGATACTATCATCACTAGTACTCTTCATATTTAAATGTTAAAAAATGTCATAACCATTATTTGTTCTTGTAAATATCACGGAATGTATGCTTAAAAATATACAACCATCCTCTGATAAGATGGATATTTATATTTATAGAAATTTTAACTGTCACGAGTTCTTCGTTTTTACAAATATCAACATTTAATATATATATATATATATATATATTATATATATATATATATATATATATATATATATATATATATATATATATATATATTTGTGTGTGTGTGTGCGTGCGCGCGCCGTGCGGTTCGGTTTTTTGCTGTTTTTGCAATACTAGAAACCGCACTGCACCAAACATTTTCGGTTTTTGCAAAACTAAAAACCGCACCGTCAGTTTTTATTTTCGGTTTTGGTTTTTCGGTTTTGGTTTTTTCGGTTTGCGGTTCGGTTTTTGCTCACCCCTAATTATTGCGGATATGTTATTGTATTTTAGTATTAGATATTGTTTTTAAGATGATATATTTTAAGGTTACTGCTACAAAAGGCATTGTAGCATCCCAAGATTTGCCACTTATAGTCCATGGGGATAGAAGGGTGAAGCCATGAAAGTCTAAGGGCTAAATTGCAATTATTGGGATCAGGAGGAGTATGTTGCGCGTACATAAGGGTACGCTGAGCGTACTAGGCGCGGCCTAGTACGCTGAGCGTACACTTGTGTACGCAGGGCGTACTCATGGCAAAAGGAAACCCTAATATTTAGGGTTTGGGGACTATATAAGCAACATATTGAGCACAAGACCCTCCCTTACCCCAGCCTCCACTGCTTAGAGTCGTTTTCCCCAAACCCTAGTCATTTCCATGAGCGTTTTAGCTTTTTGAGTGTTTCTTGAGTGTTTTAGGAAGAAGGTGTTGCATCAAGGAGTTGGAAAAGAATACCAAGTTTGTAGATCTGAAGTTGGTTTGTGCCCTAGAAGCTCCAGAAGGTAAAAAGCTTGGAACTTTATACTTGTATGAGATAGATCTAGTCATTTTAGCTTTATGGAAGCATTCTTGTCCCAAAAGTCCCAAAATGGTGCATGTTATGATTTGGACGAAATGAGTTGTCCTTTCAGACCTTAGAAGAGGCCCTAAATGATAAAAATGGTGTCCCGATAGTTAGATTTGTTTCATGCATGAAGTAGGAAGGTCTTAATGGATTAAGACCATGTGTTAAGAACTTTCTGGACGTCCAAAGTGATAAAGTTCGAGACTTTATAGTCTTATGGCACATTTGGTCGATGGATCTGGAGTTTGGGCTTAAGTGTTTAAGCCATTAAGCACTTATTTGGGTATGGATTGGTTGAGCCCCAATCGACCTTATGTCTTATGCCGGTTTCCATAAAGAGCTTTGATGTCATCATTGGTATGGATTAGTTGAGCCCCAATCGTGTCGATATCCTTTGTTATGAAAAAGTCATCTGTCTCAATCTGCCCTCGGGCGAAACTCTCACTATTTACGGTGATAAACTCAACTCAAACCTTCGCATCATTTCGTGCATCAAAGCCCAGAAGTATCTGCGAAAGGAGTGTCATGCATTCCTATCCCACGTTGTAGACGAAAAGCAAAAAGTTAAAGACCTCGAGAGCATCCCCAAAGTCTGCAACTTTCCTGATGTCTTCCCCGAAGATCTTCCAGGAATCTCTCCCGAGCGCCAAGTCGAGTTCCGTATCGACTTAATCCCCGGAGCTACTCCTGTAGCTAAATCCCCATACCGTCTAGCGCCAACAGAAATGCAAGAGTTATCCAGCCAGCTCAATGAGCTGCTCAACAAAGGATTCATAAGACCGAGTTCCTCACCCTGGGGAGCCCCGATCTTATTCGTGAAAAAGAAAGATGGATCCTTTCGGATGTGCATTGATTATCGAGAACTGAACAAGCTTACCATCAAGAACCATTATCCCTTACCCAGAATCGACGACCTCTTCGATCAACTTCAGGGAGCCAGTTATTTCTCGAAGATAGACCTAAGATCAGGGTACCATCAGTTGCGAGTTCACAAGAATGATGTTCCCAAGACAGCATTCCGAACTCGTTATGGACACTACGAGTTTGTAGTAATGCCCTTTGGTCTAACCAACGCACCGGCGGTATTCGTGGATTTGATGAATCGGGTGTGCCGCCCTTTCCTAGACAAGTTCGTAATCGTGTTCATTGACGATATACTTGTCTATTCTCGGAGCGAGGATGATCATAGACAACACTTGAGGCTAGTGCTAGAAACACTAAGGACGGAGAAGCTCTATGCAAAATTCTCTAAGTGCGAATTATGGATCAGAAAAGTAACATTCCTTGGTCACGTGGTTAGCGAGGAAGGCATACACGTGGACCCTTCCAAGATCAAAGCGATTGAGAATTGGTCAGCACCGAAGACACCCACAGAAATCCGTCAATTCTTGGTTCTCGCTGGCTACTATCGCAGGTTTATCCAGAATTTCTCCAGAATTTTTAAGCCTTTAACCACCCTGACTCAGAAAGGTGTAACCTTTAGTTGGAGAGCAAAGCAATACTCTGCGTTTCAAACACTGAAGTAGGCCCTATGCAGCGCACCTATCTTGTCCCTGCCTGAAGGAACAGAGGACTTCGTTGTCTACTGTGATGCATCCAATCAGGGCTTAGGTTGTGTGCTCATGCAGCGAGGAAAGGTTATTGCTTATGCCTCGAGACAACTGAAAACGCATGAGGTCAATTACACAACTCACGATCTAGAGCTGGGAGCAGTGGTCTTTGCGTTAAAGATTTGGAGACATTATATCTACGGAACCAAGTGCACAGTCTTCACCGACCATAAGAGCCTACAACATATCTTCGATCAGAAAGAGTTGAACATGAGGCAACGGCGATGGGTAGAGCTACTCAGTGATTATGAGTGTGAAATACGCTATCATCCCGACAAGGCCAATGTGGTAGCGGATGCCCCTAGC